AGAACCTCTTGCTATGCTTAGGGCCTCACTAAGTTTCTGAGGCTAGCCTTGAACTTTCTATCCTCCTGCCTCAGACTCCCGAGTGTCTGGGATTACAGGCATGTGCCACCATGCCCAGCAATCTTCAACTTTTAAACTTCAGGGTATTCTGAAGAGTCATTACTGTTTAGGAAGTTTCCTTTTTCAGGAGTCAGAAACTGAACTGCAGGAAGTAGTGAAAGGAAGGAGAAGTTAACTGTAATATTTATTTTACCTAGGCCTAAGGAGCACAATTTAGACAATAAACACTGTCTTGAATATGCAGACCAGGTGCCATAATGTTAGGAATATGAATTAAAATTTAGGATTACTTTGGTTGTATTGTAACAGGAGCTGGTTCTGTTTTGTCATAGATAGTTATTCAACGCCTCTTATTTGAAACATTCCACATTCTCCTGTTTATTTATTCGTTTAACAAATGTGGAAGTTCTACTATGTGGCACAGATGTCTTATTTATGTTCTCAAATTCATAGCTTACTGTAACTCACATAGCACATATGTGAGTTCTGCCTTATGTGAAAGTTTTATATATTTTACTAAATTTTTAGTAAGATCTTCGATGACTGGAATTATGTACTGCTGATTTTTACCTTCACAATATCATTGCGCACATTGCATTACACATAGTAGGAATTCAATAAATATTTGAGTCAAATTATGCTGTAATGCTGTAAAAGCTATTACAAGCACAAAGTGCGACATAACTTTTATTGATTGTGCTAACATTCTAAGGTGGATGTGTCAACAGGGTATTGTTGTTACGCAAGTAAATATTAAGTGTTTATAGAGAAGGGTATGTTCACTTCAAGAGCACAGGAACAGGGGAAATGCATAACTGGGTGGAGGCTGTTTTGGAAGAAGCGCTGTTAATTTTTCGTCTCAGTCCAGATGATTGTGTAGAGTAACTAAAATTTCACTTTTTTTTTTTTCTAAAGTATTTCCATCCTCTCACCTTTCTAGAACTAGCCTACCCCTTTCTGTTCCTTCCCAAAGGGTTGGAGCCAGTTCACTCTACTCAAAATTCTCAAAAGTCTACCCTATACCCTCCAGCTCCTATTCAAGACGTTCGGTCCAGGGGCTTTAGGAAGGCAGGGCAGGAAAGCACCGGGTCACTCGCAGGGCAAACG